CATGATATACCGGCTGAGAGCATGGGCTTTGAACCCCAGCTCTGCCAGCTGCTAGTGGTGTGACCCTGGGCGAGTTCCTTAGCCTGTCATGCTTCACTTTCAGCGTCTCTAACATGGAAACCACCCTACCTCATAAGGTTGTTGGGCGGATTACGTGAGATAACACATGAAAAGTGCTCAGTCCAGTGCACACAGTAAGAGCTCATTTTTAAAAAAATAGAGGATCAGCATAGCTTGAGTCTCATGAAAGAAGAGAAAGAGGGGTAGGAGATGAGGCCAGTGAAGAATAGAGACCACAGTAAGTTGTTGGGTTTTATTCAAAGTACAGCGGGAAACCATTGAAAGATTTTAAGCAGGGAGTGGCATGATCTGATTTAAAATATTAAAAGATCACTCTGGAGAATTCCCTGGTGGTCCAGTGATTGGGACTTGGTGCTTTCACTGACGTGGGCCCAGGTTCGATCCCCGGCGGGGGAACTAAGATCCCACAAGGCAAAAAAAAAAAAAAAAAAAAAAAATCACTCTGGCTGCTCTATGGAAAATGAATTACAGAGATTTTTTTTTTCTTCTCCAAAAGGTCATGTCTTATCAGAGTGAACAGATGCACTTGTTTTGGGCAGAGTGAGCAGCCTTCTCCTTTGAGTTGCTCCCAGAAGTACAGCATTCTGTCACTGACTCAACAAACGCATCCTGAGCACTTGCTCTTTGCCAGGAACTGTAATAAACACTGGGAGTGCAGAGACAAGTAAGCTCAGTCCCTGTGGGGAGAGCCTGGCTTGATTCCTGGCTCTGCACATGACAGCTGCTACTCATGTTATCATTTTTGTTGTATTTCTTACCCCTGCTCTTAGGAGCAGGTGGTAATGGATGAAGTGGAGCCAGATGTAATCAACTGTAATACAATGTGACAAATGCAATAACAGGGATGAAGGAGGGTGAGGGCCTTGAAGGGTGCTAGTAGTCAGGATTAACTCCCAAGAAAGAATGTGAAAGTAGAAGTTACTTAGATGGAAATGGGGGGATGTTTTTAAAGAACTGGCCCTAAAGTAGAAGGAGGTTGGGCAGAAATGCCTAAGACAAAGGAGGAATGACTTAGGAGAAGAGGGGAAGAGGACAAGGAAGGGGCTCAGCACAGGCAAGATCGTAGAGGTGTTGGTCATGGGTGCTTTAGCCTGGGGCCCCAGGGTAACCCTAATAGTATCAATCCTTCTGGAGGTCAATTTAGCAATAAATGATTAAATAATCAAAAAAAATAAAAAAACCTTTGACTCAGCAATTTCACTTGGAAACTATTAAAGGTATGTGCAAACATTTACCTACAATGGAATACTATGCAGCTGTTAAAAATAGTTATCAAAGGGCTTCCCTGGTGGCGCAGTGGTTGGGAGTCCGCCTGCCGATGCAGGGGACGTGGGTTCGTGCCCTGGTCCGGGAGGATCCCACATGCCGCAGAGCGGCTGGGCCCGTGAGCCATGGGCGCTGGGCCTGCGCGTCCGGAGCCTGTGCTCCGCAACGGGAGAGGCTGCAGCAGTGAGAGGCCCGTGTACCGCAAAAAAAAAAAAAAAAAAGTTATCAAAGAATAATTATTGGTATAGAGAGATGTTTCAGAAATAGTAAATGAAAAAGGAAGGTTACAGAGCTATTTTACAGTGTGCTCCTTTTTAAAAAGTAAATGAAAATACATATATTTGTACACCCAAAACATGAACAAGAATGTTCATAGCGGTATTATTTTTAATAGTCCAAAAGAGAAAACAACCCAAATTTCTATCTGGCAGAATGGATAAACAATGGTATATTTATACAGTGGAATAGTCTACAGCAGTGAAGATGAATGAACTACAACTACATTCAACAATGCCCTTGATTCTTACTAACATAATGTTGGGGAAAAAAAAAAGAAAACCCACAAAAGATTATGATTCCATTTATATAAAATTCATCAGGCAAAGTTGATCTATGCTATTAGAAGTCAGAATAGTGTTTACTTTTTTTTGGTCATTTTTTTTTAATTGTGAGAAAATACGTAACATAAAATGTATCATTTCAACCATTTTAAAGTGTGCAATTCCGTGGCATGCAATACATTCACAAAGTTGGGTAACCATTACCTCTCTCTAGTTCCAGAACTTCAAGCAGTACCTCTTAGGCAGTCACTCCCCATTCCTCCCTCCCCCACATGACGTTATTTTCCAAGAGGAGGGAATAATGCCTGGAGGGAACAGAGTGGGGGGCTTCTGGATATTGGCAATGTTCCCTTTTTTAAAAAATCTAGGTGGGAGTTACACAGCTGTGTTCATGTTGTGAAAATTTATCTAGCTGTACACTCATAATTTATATACTTTTTGCATGTATATCTAAGTAGACATAGATAAATGTGGAGATATACTGTATATATATGAAATGTTAACAGCGATTTTTTTGCTAGGAGGTAAGATTATGAATCTAGTTTGTGTTTTGCTAACTTGTGTTTTCCAATTGCTCTTTATGGATATGTATTACTCTGGTAGTAAGTTTTTAAATTTCAAATATCTTAAAGGAAAATAACATTGTAATGCCTTTCAAGAGAAAATGTTCCTTACCATCAAAAGCACTGGGATTGTCTCACCAAAACCTTGCCTGGTCACTATTTTGCCTGAGGGCTGATACTCCTTTATGTATCCATCACCCTGCATGGTTCTGGACCTGTCCTATCTCCCTGGTGGATATGGAAGGGGTGTGTGTGAGAGACATGAGGGAGTGAGGAATGGTGTTCCAGTTCTCCTTGGCCACTGAGTGGTTGTGCTCAGAGGACTCACTCCCTGCCAGGCTGGAATTAAACTTGAAATAAAAGCTGGGGAATTTGAAAAGAAAAGGTAGAGGTCAAGGTGAACAGGCTGCCCTGACTGACCTAAGAGGAGCATCAGGGAGTGACCAAGGGCTTCAAGCAAGCACATGACTCTCCAGTCTATCAATACAGAGACAAGCAACCACTCCAGAGAGAGATTTTCATAACAGAAGACTTTCACAGCCTTCTTCAATCACCCAGCTTCCACCAAAAGATGAAAGTACTAAGTACTATCTACATGTAAAGCTCCCTGTCTCTCTCTTTCAGGAGTTTGAATGCCTTTTATCCACCTTTGTCTTACTGGCTTTCTCATCTTTCCAATCTCAATTTTCATCTCCATCCCCTCCAGGCTCTCAGGCACTATGAACCCCTTTCTCCTCTGTGCTTCCAATGCACCTTGTTTATACTCTACTAGAGCAGCCACCGCATGGTGTAACAAGTCTTTGCCACCAAATTGTGATCTCCTTTATAGCTGGGACTAGGTCTTTTTGATCACTGCTTCAAAACCCATACAGTAGATACCCAACAAACGTTGCTCTGAATTACTGAAGGGGGTGTCTTCCTCCCATCTTTGACCCTTTTCCAAAGTGGAGTGACTATACACATTCCTTCCCTTTTCCTTAAGGCTTTTATTCTCTACATCTTTTGTTGGTTCCAAGATTTCTTGAATTCTTAAGAGATGATTACATGTTTACACATGCACATGCCCTGGAGCTTGTGGTGCAGCTTTATGGCCACTTCCATGTGCATTATGGGGCCTGTAGTCATCCCACACCCTCTCCAGCCCTTTGCTGATTCTTGTCTTGCTTTTCCTCCTCAATTCCAGGAACTAAGTACATGTAAATAAATTGCTTTTGGCTGAGCTTTTAGAGAGGAATTTTCCTCTACATGTTAAAAGATTTCAGTCCTATACCAGCCCTTTTCCTTATTTGTTGAGCCCTCACAATACACCAGACACTGTGCTGGTTCATGATCTAGCAGGATAGCCACCACCTTAGATTGATTTATTTACTCATTGATCATCCTCTGGAAACATGTAGCAGGGCACCTGACCTAATCTTTGGTCAGGCATAGCTTCCTTGAGGAACTGACGTTTCTGCCACGTGTACAAAGTAAAGTAGAAAGTGGTTGAGGGGAAATGGGTGATAAAAGAATCAAGGAAACTACATGTTTAAAAGGCCCTGAAGTGTGGAGGTTGGGAGAATCTTAAAGACATTGCCAAGAGGAGTGTGGGGCTGGGGGTAGTGGCCCAGAGGAGGTTGAAGAAGTGGGCAGAGATGGAATAGGACAGTGCCTTGATGTATGATAAGGCTGCTTTAGTCAGGAATCTTTTGGTTGAAAATGACAAAAATCCCCCTAAGAAGTTCAGGGCTTTCAAGATCAAAGATGTCATTGAGTTTTGACATCTCTCTCTGTCTCTGTCTCATCTTTGCTTTCCTTTGTGTTAGCTTCATTCTTGGGCTGGCCTCTGTGAAATCATCCTCTGATCCTCCCTTGTCTCACAGAAGCCAAAGACTGGAGAGGAAGGGAATGTGGGTGAGAAAGACTAATTGATAAGGGCCATTTACCCTTCCACTCTTGAAGGTCACCTTCTTTCAGGAGATGTCCACATGTCCCCACCTTAGATTCCCTGGGGGAGGGCAGGAAGCTTGGCCTTCTACGACGGTAGAGAAGGAAACAGGTGAGGGGATCCTGTTTCCAGACTCCAAAACGGTTTGCTTTCTTAAAATAGCAAACCTACAGCCCCCTGTCTCTTTCTCTAAGGGCCTAAAATGCACTTTTTTGGCTGCATCCTCAGCCTTCCCTGGAAGCAGGATCATTTGGGCTTGGTAAGAGAAAAGAAAGAAGGTGGGAACTCCAGAAACTCCTTCCGACTCCCACCCCCTCATTCTGGCCCTCGTAGCGGGTCCTGACCTATTTGTCTTACTCGCGCTTTCTTCCGGAGCCTTTTCAGACCCCTCCAGGGTCCTGTTCCAACTCAGGGGCTTCAGAACTCCTCCACTGTCCGGTGAGCCGCCCTTCTTCCGCCTCACGCACACCCTAACTAAGCAGGACCAGCAGAAGAATACCCAACCCAGGGACCCCTTTTATTCTGAGCCCTGGCGCTTCCGCCTCCGGGGCGGAGACTCCTCCCCCTCACCGTCCCAATTGTATTCCCTGGAAGAGCAGCCGGAAAAGCCTCCTCCTGCTCAGACCGGGATAAACGAGACGCTGGTTCCTTCTCGCAACCAGCTCTCTGAGCCCTGGGAACCGCCGTGGCGGTCGGCACTGCAGCACCAAAGGCTGCGAGCACAACCTGGGCTCAGCTCCAGCTGGGCGCGGGCGGTGCGGGAGCGGCTTCAGCACCACGGACAGCACCCTGCCCGCGGCCCTCCGGCCTGCGGCGCGCTTCGGCAGCTTTAGGCGAGCCGGCGAGCTATGCCAGAGGCATGGCCTGGCGCTCGGGCCCCATGGCGCTGCTCCTCAGCTTTGGCCTCCTCGGGCTGTGCTCAGGTAAGGACAAGTCGCCGCGCTCTGTCTCAGTCTCGAAGGTGTACGGGAGGGATCCCTAAGGCGGGGAGTCTGTTAGGGGTTAGGGAAGAGACCCCTGGACGGCAGGGAGTACCTGGGAGACTGAACTGGGAGGAGGACATACCCGAAGTGATGCTGGGAAGAGAGGGCAACCTGGGCAGGGGTGGTGGAGAGGGTGTGGGCACAGAGAGGAAGGAGGGAGGGGATCTCCCCAGACTATCTGGGGTGGAAGGAAGGGGAGAGTCTGATTGCAGCTGAGATGCCATTTGACTTCTTGTGAAACATTATCTCAAGAAAATCTACCTGGTTCCGCACCCTCCCTTGGCTCTCCATCATTTTCTGTCCCTCATATTGGACTCCAAAAGGGGCAAGGCAGGAGGGGGAAAGAAGCAACTTCTCAACTCTCTTGTAGGGTGGGCAGGAGACTCGGAAGGGAAGAAGCTCTGCCAGGTGGAGGGCCAGGGAGGAATCTCTGAGGGGGTGGGGTGCATTCGTGCAGGGTTGCAGAAGGAGATAGAGTGTGTGGTGGGGCAGGTACAAAGGGAATATACAACTAAATGAGCTTTCCATACCTGCCTGCAATCTCATGAGAGGTGGGCTCCCGTAGGCGCGCAACTTGGGACTAAATATATGCCCTGACCCAGAGCTCAGGCAGCCCAACTATTCTACTCCAACCCAGTACCTATGGGGGGAGGGGGTCACAGCCAGTCACATGTAGAGACACATAGTGTTACCTGCACACATAGATGGGCACGGACTGAGGAGAAAGGCTGAATGGTGGGACATGAATAACTGTTCCCCTTTCACCACCCTCCAGAACCTTCCTTGAATTGTAGGTATCTTCTAGGGGAAGCCATGGAGACAGAAATGTCAATTCTTTTGAAACCACCCTCTGAGACCTTGCAGGAAGAGCAGGGTCTCCACTAATCCTTGCAGAATGGGTTCTTAGTGGGGGACTGTGGGGGGCTGTCTGGGCTCCTTGGTCAGTGATCTCAGAGAGGGACTTCTCTATGAGGGGTCTCCATGGGGTAACCTAAGCATTTCGCTATATCCTTAAGGATGGGGCTGTGGGAAGCTACAGCCTCCTGTTTGGGCCTACGTTGTACCACTTGCCTAGGGAGAGTGGGATCCTGGGTGGGACCTCCTTGCCTATGTACTTACCTCTTGCCCTCCACCCACACTACCCAGGAGTCTGTGGTACAGACACAGAGGAGCGGCTGGTGGAGCATCTCCTGGATCCTTCCCGCTACAATAAGCTTATCCGCCCAGCCACCAATGGCTCTGAGCTGGTGACGGTACAGCTCATGGTATCCCTGGCCCAGCTCATCAGTGTGGTGAGTGAAGGTCCCAAACTCTCTGCCCAGCTACTGAAGTCAGTGTTTGTGCTTATTCTTCTGGAGTTCCCAAGGCTTGGGGAGGTGGGGGAAGGAGCCTGGGTGGTGTAGTGGGACCACAGGCTTGAGGGGTGGGGGTGGGGCACTTCTCAGCAGCTTCTCTTCTTCCCTGCAGCATGAACGGGAGCAGATCATGACCACCAATGTCTGGCTGACCCAGGTTAGCACTCTTCCTGTCCACACCCCTGGGCTTCTCTTTCCTCCTTTTTTTTGTAGGGGGGAGGGGCATGTGCTTTTCCCTCTTTTCATGCCCTCAAGAGAGGCAAAAATTTAGACTTTGGAGCCCTAAATAACTGGATTTGAATTTTGGTTCTTCTACTCACAGCTCTGTAACTTTGAATATGTTAAACTCGGCAAGATCCATTTTCTCATTTGTAAAACGTAAGTTCTAATATCTTGGCTTGGCTATGCAAATTAAATGAGAAGACACTTTTGCTGGGCAGAGAAGTCACTGTGGGGATGCAATGACTTTTCAAAACTTCCTCAAGCCAGATAGGCCTCCTCTTGTCCCTGTCGTTGACCTTGAGCCCCTCCCAGGGCGGAGGTTGGTGCTGCCTCCCTCTCTCCCTTTCCCAGGAGTGGGAGGATTATCGCCTCACCTGGAAGCCTGAGGAATTTGACAACATGAAGAAAGTTCGGCTCCCTTCCAAACACATCTGGCTCCCAGATGTGGTCCTATACAACAAGTAGGTGACCCTGGAGGGATGGGAAGGCTGGAGGAGACCATGGGAGTACTCAGGTCTTGGGGAAAGGAAGTTAGCTCATGCTGGGGGACAGAGGGACTTTTCATTGGCAAAGACAAGTCACTACCCAGACAGACAGACCCAAACCAGTGAGGTATAATGTGGACAGCCAAGGTAACTTGGGCCATGGCCAGCTCCCTCTCAGCCAATTAGGACTCCCAGTGTTTGGAGCTGCAGTGGCATAAAAACGAGGATTGACAGACCCCAGTGCCTAAACTGATTCAAGAATAGGCCTTCCAGGAGGATTGGGGAGGGTCAAAGAACTTGGAGATCCCAGTTTCTCCTCCAGGTTCCAGCCCCTCTCCTGAAATAATCCCTCTTATCTCGAAGACCCAAAGCCACTAGTCCATAGCCACTAGGGACCATCTCCTCCTCCCACCTGCCCCTGTCCCTCTCCATTAGTTGGGGCTCCTCACTCTGGCCTCCCTGGCTCCCCTAACTTCTCCACCTTCATGTGGAGCAACCAGCTTACAGAATGCATGACAAGTAGCAGATGTGCCTCCCCTCTTCATCACCTCTTCTGTCTCTGAGGCCTCTTCTCCTCACCAACCCACCCAGATCCCCTTCTTGCTCAATTCCTGCCCCTCCTCCCTAGACCCCTGGATGGCTACCCTCTTCCCATATATCCCTTTGGCTTTCCTCTCTTCCCACTCAGGGCTGGGTTGATGGGTGGGGTGGAGGAATGCTTAGGCCAGGGCTGACTGTGCTCATCCCTTGGCAGTGCTGACGGCATGTACGAGGTGTCCTTCTATTCCAATGCCGTGGTCTCCTATGATGGCAGCATCTTCTGGCTGCCGCCTGCCATCTACAAGAGCGCATGCAAGATCGAAGTAAAGCACTTCCCGTTTGACCAGCAGAACTGCACCATGAAGTTCCGCTCGTGGACCTACGACCGCACCGAGATCGACCTGGTGCTCAAGAGTGACGTGGCCAGCCTGGACGACTTCACGCCCAGTGGCGAGTGGGACATCGTTGCACTGCCGGGCCGGCGCAACGAGAACCCGGACGACTCCACTTACGTGGACATCACGTACGACTTCATCATCCGCCGCAAGCCACTCTTCTACACCATCAATCTCATCGTCCCCTGCGTGCTTATCACCTCACTAGCCATCCTCGTCTTCTACCTACCCTCCGACTGCGGCGAGAAGATGACGCTATGCATCTCCGTGCTGCTGGCGCTCACCGTCTTCCTGCTGCTCATCTCCAAGATCGTGCCGCCCACCTCCCTCGACGTGCCGCTTGTAGGCAAGTACCTCATGTTCACCATGGTGCTTGTCACCTTCTCCATCGTCACCAGCGTGTGCGTGCTCAACGTGCACCACCGCTCACCCACCACGCACACCATGGCTCCCTGGGTCAAGGTCATCTTCCTGGAGAAGCTGCCCAAGCTGCTCTTCATGCAGCAGCCGCGCCACCGCTGCGCCCGCCAGCGCCTGCGCCTGCGGCGGCGCCAGCGCGGGCGCGAGGGAACCCGCGCCGTCTTCTACCGCGAAGCCCTGGGGGCAGATTCCTGCACGTGCTTCGTCAATCGCGCGTCTGTGCAGGGCTTGGCTGGGGCCTTCGGCTCGGAGCCGGCGCCGGCAGCCGGCCCCGGGCGCTCCGGGGGGCCGTGTGGCTGCGGCCTCCGGGAGGCGGTGGACGGCGTGCGCTTCATCGCGGACCACATGCGGAGTGAGGACGACGACCAGAGCGTGAGTGAGGCGCGGGGACTCGGGCGTGGGATGCGGGCTGCAGGGCCCTCGGTGCCTGCGCAGACAGACACCGAGGAGCTAACGGGAGTGCAGGATGTGGGCAGTGAGAGTCCGGCCGGGGCCTGTGGGCCTGGGCGCTGGCGTGGCCTCTTCTCTGGCTTCTGGGAGGCGGCGCCGCCTAAGTGGCGGTTGGTACAGGATGAACTTGCGGCTTCCTGAGGACTAGTATCCAGGGCGAAATGCCTCAGCTGGGGCATCGTGAGTGTCGTTAGTGTTGGGAGGGTGGCCAGGAAGTGGAGGAGGCCCTTCTGGGTTTGCAGCTGGCCCGTGGCTCTGACCCCAGACACCCTCTCTGCCGCTTGTACTCCCAAGCCCATGTTGTTAACCTGCAGCTCTTAGCACAAATGGAGATGAGTCCTTTGTGTGCCCTGCGTCGGAGGTCAAAATTGAGGGCAGTAGAAAGTGTGTATGGGAGGGGTGGCGGTGGTTAAGAGGTTCCACCAGCTGCTGGAAAGAGCACAGAGTCCCGAATCAATATCCTTTTCCTACTCTTCTGGGTCCTCAGGGGATGCCCTTGTGAAATATTTACGGAGGTGGGGGCAGGTGGAGGCGAGGGTTTTTAAGACCCACTCTGAGCTTTCTGCACACTGGTATCTTTCTGCAGTGACTCCCAGAAGGGGAGCCCTGAGCCAGGGGATGGGGGGGGAAGATGATGGGTTGACTTTCCCCCACTTTAGACTGTGGCTGGCCCCATCTGGCAATCAGTCTTTGGGTACCTGGCTGGTTCCAGGCTGTGGCTCAGCTGTTGCTCTGGTGATTGGCCATGTTTCCACTGGATTTCAGCCATTCTGGCTTGGGGGATGAGGAAGGGTGGGCTCCTGCACTACCGGTTTTTTTTTTTTGTGGGGGGGGGATGCTTCAGAGCCTGGTGTTTCTATTCCCTGGGAGGGCAGGAGCTGAGGCTTGAGCTAAGGAGCAAGTTATGGTCCTGAAGGAAGAAGAGAGGGACCAAGTCATGAGGAAATGGGGTGGGAGCCTCAGAGGTGGCTGAGGCCAAGTGGGAGATGCCGGTGGTGCAGGGGGTTGACCGGCTGCATCACTGCCTCCACCTCCCCCACTGCAGTCCACTCATGTAATGTGCATTTACTGAGTTAGGTGATGAGGATGCAATGACCTACTTGGATGCTTCACAGGCATCTCAAACTTAACATGTCCCAAACTGAGTGCTTAATCTACATCCCCACCACCAACTTGCTCCTCCTCCAATCTCCCCATCTTTTAGTAAATGACATCACCATCCACCCAATGGTTTAGACCAAAAACCTGGAGTCATCCTTGACTCCTGTCTTTCTTACATCCCCCACCATCCAAATCATCAGAAGTCCTGTCCTGTGGAACCAACCTCCAAAGAGATTTTCAGCTTCCTTCTTTATTCACCATATCCATGCTGCCTCCCTGGCTGTAGGCCTCCATCAGCTCTTGCCTGGACCAGGGCAGAGACTCCTAATGGTCTCCCTGATTCAGTTCTCGTGCTTCTCCATCCAAACACACAGTGTCTCCTGCGCACTTTGTGCCATCTCTCCCCTGCTCAGGTCACTGGCTTATCTGCTCAACTGTTCTAAGCCAGCTAAGCTCTTTCCTGACTCAGGACCTTTGCACAGATTGGTCCCTCTGTTTGGAATGCCCTTCTTTTTTTCCTTTTAAAAATTATTATTATTAATTTTTGCACTACTGTTTGAGAGTAAGTTGTGGACATAGTGATCCTTTATCCCAAATACCTCAGCTTTTCTCTCCTGAGAACAGAGATATTGTCTTGCATAACCCAGGCTCAGTGATGCAATTCAGGAAATTTAGCAGCAATACAATACCTTTATCTGATATAAAGTCCATACTAACATTTTTTCAGTTGTCTCCGTAATGTCCTTTGTAGCATCTCCCCCACCTCAATCCAGGATCTTGAATTCCACTTAGTTGTTCTGTCTCTTTAGTTTCCTTCAATCTGGAATGGTTCCTCAGCTTTGTCTTTCATGGCATAAACATTTTTGAAGGGTACAGGCCAATCGAAGGTCCCTCGGTTTGGGTTTGTCTGATTGTTTCTGATTGTCTCAGCTGGCTCCTTCTCACTTATCAGATCTTAGCTTAAGGTATCACCTCCTCAAAGAGGCCTCCCCAGATCACACCCTGAATTATATCTCCCCCTCCATTTCTTCGTCCTTTGTTTCCATATAGGCACCCACCAATGTGTAATTATTTTATTTCTACTAATTTTGTGTCCATCTCCCTCAGGAGACTGTAAACTGCAGGATGTGTTTGTCTTGCTCTCAGTCACATCCCCAGTGCCTAGCATGGTGCCAGGTACATAGGAGGCACAAGTGTGACATGAATGAGTCATTATTCAGCTGCTGACTAAAGGAAGGTGCACAGTGCCTCATCCCATCCCCCCGGCTGGCTGGGCTACAGATGAACACATGTAAAAGGTCCAGACTCAGGCCGGAGTGGAGCAGCTCTGAGTGGAGGCCAGGCCTCCTGCAGACCCTGTGACTGGCTCCCAAACCCACAGAGGTTATTTTCTTCTGGACGGGTTTGTTTACACCTGAGATCTAGTCCTCACCCTCTGGGGCTGTTGGATGGGGCTCCCCAGGCAGTCATATAAGGAGTGAGGGCTGCAGAGGCAGCCATTCATTCACTAATTCAACACCCGTTTACCGGAACCCTGTGTTTGAGATGCTGGGATTACAAAGATGAATCAGATCGGGTCCCTGTAGTTTAGGAGCTCATAGCTTAAGTGGCGGAGGCGGGCGGAGAGGAAGGAGGGGCCAGGCATACAAATTGAAATGACAATACAGTGCAGTAAAAATACCGTGATAGAGACGTGTACATAGTGCTGAGGGAACCCAGAGGAAACAGTGGTTCATTCGCATTGGGCGGATCAGGGAAGCCTTCATAGAAGAGGTGACATTTGATTTAGGCTTTGAAGGATGTGTAGGAGTTCACAGGTAGAGATAGGGAGGACTGGAGTTCTAGACCAAAAGGAAACCCAAAGGCACAGAGAGCTGAGAAGACAGACTGGAGTTTGGAAAGGCTGGGTCAGAGGGTGGAAGATAGGTGGTTGGCTCATATTTGTCCTGGGTGGGTCTTGATTTTAGACTTGGGAGTTTGGGTGGCTGCTGAAGGCAGTGGGGCCACTGGAGGCTTTTAAGCAGGCAGGACTGGGGCCATGCTTTGGAAAGGTCACTCTGGGGTCCTAGAGTGAGAGGAGTCATGTGTGGTGGAAGCTGCTTCTACCTGCTCCACTCCCCTCCTGGATCATGTGATTGATACCTGGGTCTCCTTCCTCTCCTCTGTCCAGGTGAGCGAGGACTGGAAGTATGTCGCCATGGTGATTGACCGTCTGTTCCTTTGGATCTTTGTCTTCGTCTGTGTCTTTGGCACCATTGGCATGTTCCTGCAGCCTCTCTTCCAGAACTACACCACTGCCACCTTCCTCCACGCAGACCACTCGGCTCCCAGCTCCAAGTGAGGCCCTCCCCAGCTCCATGCTCCTTCACCCCTCTGTTGAGCAGTAGTTTTGGGTCAAGGAGGGATGAGTGAGCTACCAGAAAGAGGGGCGCTGCCCCCACAGACCCATCTTTTCACTTCACCTGGAGCCCGCCCCCCCGCCAGCGCCAACCTGGAGGCTGGACCAGCTGCGTCGTGTTCTGGCTGCTCTCCTCCTCTTGTACCAACCCAGGCAATAGTGCTGCTGGTTGAGCATGAAGGCTGAGAAGTGGAGGATGGAGTGGTTGGAGGCTTCCACCCTGAGGAAAGTGTGATGGGGAAAGGGCCAAGAAGGGGACAGAATCAACAGCTGCCTCCAAGTCATGGGAAAAGGGAGGAGCATGGGGGCGAGACAGGGGCTCCGACTCTGTGCTGGGCTGGGCTGACACAATGGCAGATCAGAAGGGAGGAGCAAGGGGAGAGAGGCCTGGGTGTGACCTGATGTCTGTCCCTGCTTAACTGCACAGCAGCCAGGGGTTCCTGCCCAGAGGTTAGCCTGGAGCTGAGGTCGGAGTCCTGAGCGGGGCTTCCAGCCCAGTCCCACAGCCCCTTGCTTCTAAGGGCCCCAGAGTTCAGCCCCAGGTCCCCTTCTCCCAGTGAAGATTCTCCCTAGACTTCCTTTCTTGCTCAGGCCAGGGTGTGGGGGGCAAGGCTGGGTGTTAGGGGAGCCCCGGAGTTCTGAATCTTTGGGTGACCTGCTTGGAGCTTAAGGGCCAAATTCTTGAACTGTGCGAGTTCAAGTTCACAGGCCGTTCCTCGGCCGCAATTTGAACCGACTGGTCATTGGAACGAGTAAACTAAGGACATGAGCTGTAAGCAGACCCAGCCCTCTCGCCTGCAGCAGAGCAGGCTGGGCAGGAGAGGGCTGCCTGTGGAGGCCAGCCCAGCAGGGTGTGAGTGCCCAGAACTCTGCCACGTCAGCATGGCTCCTGCCCCCCTACTTCTGTTCCTGGCTCCATCCTTCCTGCTCTGGCTCCTCCTCTTGCCCCGCCCAAGCAAACCTGAGCAGGGTTGAAGCAGAGCTTCGGACGGACAGGTCTGCTACTGCTGGTCTGCACAGCGGACTGTACACAGAGCCCAGCTTTCGGCTTCCTGTCCTGTGGGTCCCTGGAGGGTGTATCCCGACGCTGCTCCCAGGGGCCAGCTGGAGGCCACCTTGCCTGTTAGCCCAGGAAACAGACCTCTTCAGGGATCACCTGCCTTGGCCCCCGCCACGTGACTGGCTCTGATCTGTGGTCCCAGCCTGGGCTCAGTGCTGGGCCAGTGGGGTCACAGAGGGGTCTATTTGCCAAGCGCACCTGAGGGGCCTGCCCGACACACCGTGCTATTCTCTGGAGCCTGGCTGGATGCCTGCTTCTGCAGGCACCTTGGAGGTGGGGAGACAGCACAGGCACAGAGCGCTGGACAGGGAGCAGAGTCTGAATTCCGGTCCCCGCTCTGCCACTTACTCTCAGCCATCCTGAGCAATTCTGGCTAGGCCTCAGCTTCCTCATCTATAAATCGGGGATAGTAAGGCCCTCTTCATGGGGTTGTTGTGAGGTAGGAGTGATGTTTGTGAAAAAGCCCAGGGCTGTACCTGGCGTAGAGTAGATGCTTCGTGAATGTCAAGTCTGAGAGGTGGTCAGAGTCGACTGGTATGGGCTTACCTGCCTTGTCATGTCACTCTTCCTTCCAGACCCACCCACACCCTGGAGCAGATAGCCCCCGGAAACAGGGATGGGGTCTGGGGGAGCTGGAGCCGGAGAGGAGCAACACAGGGAATGCTGGGGTGAGCCTAACAGGTGGGCTGCCCTCTGGAGCCTCTTCAGCAAAGGTTCATTCCATTCCCGGGCTAAGCTCAGGCTCCGGCCTCCCTTCTGGATCGGCTCCTCCTGACACAGGTGTGTGCCCAGGCCCCCAGGTGATCTAGTCCCGTACTGGCTGTGGAGGAACACCACTGGGACATGAAGCCAGCAGCTGTGAGAGATGTGCCTCAGCGCATTTCCCCACCTGCCGGAATGGGCTGGCAGACATCTCTTCTGGGGGGTGAGTGTCTCGGCACCATGGAGACTCCCTTCTTCTAGAACAGCAAATGGAGAGTTGCCTCTATTATGGCTGGACCCGCCTCGGACTCACAGCCCTGAGGAAACATCCCGGAACCTGAAACAGCTAATGAAAAGGAACCCTTCCTCTGAAGGGTAGGTGCTGGCCTGAGGCCCTCCTGCCCAGCTCTCCCAGGTTCCTTGCCAGGGTCTAGGCTGCTAGGGAGGCCCCATCAGCTGTTGCTGTGGCGGGACTTGCTTTCAGTACTTCCTGCAATTGGCTGTCATCCGAGTAAGTCACCAGACAGTGCCAGAGGGGCTGCTGGAGAGCAGCTTGTCCAACTCCTCGCCATGGCCCCCCCGACACACAGGGAAGTGGAGGCCCGGAGGTTGTTTGCTGGCTGACCTTGTACAAGTACTTAACTCTGAACTTGCTCATCCTCATCAGTGACATGGGGATGACAGCTGGCTGAGGGCTACAGCAAGGATGGGAGGGACCGATGGAAGGGGTTAACCGGGCAGGGTCCCTGGGGCAGTACCATTCCCTCCATCTCTGGGTGCAGCCCCTAGGGGACCACGCCAGTGGGGAGGAGGGGAGGACGGGTGGAGGAAAGAGGGCTCAGGCAAGGTGTTACCACGTGTCAGTACAGACTTGGAACCCTCAAGGGCGTTGGGAAGCTTTGGAGAACCAGTCTCTTCTACTCTTGGGTCCTCCGTCCTCTTCTCTTGGTGTTGTCAGGGAAGCCTCTTGGCCCCTTCCATGGGGTGGGGCAGGGCATCTCTGGAGAGAATGGGGTACCCAGCTGAGCTCCAGGCCAGGACTGAAGGCCCCAGATCTGAAGAGGGAGGGAGAGATACTGGATTGGCACCCAAGCAAGGTGGGCTTGGGAGAGGGCAGTGAGGAAACAATTGGGATCATCTCCATCAGAGATGAGAAGGCCACAGGCCATCTGAGAACCACTTCTTGTTTGAAAAAGAGGGTATGAGAGACTGCTTTTGACGGCTGGAACTGCAGCAGGAGGAAGGCAGTCTCCTGGCAGCGAGGTGTCTAATACTGGAACAGCTGGTACCAAGTTATTGCAGATTTAAAAGCAAATAAGACACGGGCAGCCCCCGGCTGGCATTTCTGTGGAGGAAGGCTATCTGTGCAGAAAGGGCAAGGCCATTTCCCTCTAAGGAAACAGGGAGGATGTGGGGCTTTGACTCCTGTTCTGCTTCTCCCAATCCCAGTATTAGCTGCTGTGCACAGTGGCCTGCTCTGGGCCAGTTGCTTCGGATACACTGTCTTTACCCCTCGCTGTCCTGCAGGGAAGGGGCCCCTGTTGACAGAAGAAAAGTGAGGCAGAGAGACCAAGAGATAGCTGGTGAGTAGTGCTGGACCTGAAACCCAACACTGATCCCAGAGTCCACGCTCTCTGTGGCCTTTGGGGCAGGGAGGAGGAGAGCTCCTTGGGAGGGAAGTGAGGGGCATTCAGCGTCTTCTCTGAATTCTCTCCCCACTCAGTTCCAGCCGTCACCCTCTGCTTGTAGGCAGAGTTGGGCTGGCGTCACAGCATCCCTCACAAGCCAACTGGTGCTGGCCAGTCGCCCACCCAGACTAGACAGAGAATAAGCAGCCACCCTTCAGTATTCATCCCAACAGGTCTCAAAGGTCAGTGTGACAGTCACATGGTTCCTAAGGGACTGTCGGTCTAGGAATCATTAGAACACCTCACTCACCCACCCGCAGTGCCCCCATCTCTCCCACACTGGCCTCGGCTGCCCCCGTCTGTGCTCCTAGAATATTTGCACTGACCTAGCCCACTCCAGGCCAGACTCACTGGGAACTCACGATTCTCATAAAGAAAGTTGTTTCCAAAGGTGTTTTATCTCTCTGTTACATCTGGGGGGCAGAGGTGGGGACGGGGGCTGGGGCGTGGGGACGTCCTCTCGGGGCAGGGTTGAATAAGGGAAGGGAGAATATTGGGGAAACTGGACTCACGAGAGGTTAAACACATCGCACGAATCTGAAGAAAAGATCAGTGGTAACATCAGTGATTGTGATTTGTAGCCTGACAAGTCCATTCATCAGATGGAAAAGATAGGGCCAAACGGCTGCGCCTAGAGTAGACAGAGCCCAGAAATAGCTCCTGGGGAGGCCCTTTGTAAAGAAGGGGCCCTGGAGGACAGGGCAGACGTGAGGCCCGGTCTCCTGGAGGGATGGCTGGGGACTCCTCGCACAGCCCCTGCACTCTGCGGAGTCAGGGCGGTCTGTGTGGAAGGCACTCCTGCTCCTGGCACATGGGTTTGACCCGGGCCCACATCCTGGAAACAATATTAAATGGTGGGCCCCCGAGATGAAATGTAGGGTGAACAGCAGCTGAAGTGCTGAGCTGAAGAAAACCCCTCTTGTGCTCCCGTGGGGTAGCCTTGCTTCCCAGCCCACCCAGAGCTGGGTGGCGAGGGGACAGTCTTACATCATGCACTCACTGTAGGTATGGAAGAAACGGTCCATTTTCTACAAAGCCTGGATACTACATTTCCCTCCAGGTGGGACCAGATGCCTGGGAACAGAGAGGACAGAGATGCTCGAGGCTCCAGGTACCTCACAGTAGGCGGAGACACTGTCCTTCACTGTCAAAACTGTCCAGCTCACCAGGGACTGTATTTCAACAGACTGTGACCGACACCCATACAGAGTTCTGGTCCTTATTTAATGTGCCCCCCAAACATGTCGCTGGCCCTCCTGGCCTCAGTTGTTCCATCTGTATTGTGGATGAAGAGGGAGGTTTCACTGCGACTTAGGAAGCCTCACTGTCAAATATTTCGTGTCCTCTGGTATGGTATTTTTACAAGGTCAAGGAAGAGTCTTGTAGAAATCCTGGACTAAATTGCAATCTGGAAAGTGGTGCATATTCTCTTTGAAATCAAGACGGAGAAATATTCTGGATGCCATCTATGAAGTAAAAAGCAAATGGCCTGTCTCCTATGACTGCAGCCAAGCCAGTTCTGGTCCAGGCTGCAACTTGCACCTCCCCGCAGGCAAAACAGCTGGGAGTGGAGGCTGTAGAAACCCCTCAAGGAGAGCCGGAGTTGCGTATGTGATTTGTGGTGTGGTCTCAAGGGACGCTTTCCTACTCTGGGCCTTGAAATCTTGCACAGCAAGTCTCTGGGGACAAGATATTTGATGGTGGGATCTGATGGGGAAGGGGGGCTGTGGACCTGGGGAAGTAATTAAACGTTGTCTGATATACTCCAACACACCAGACACAAGCTCACCTCCTAGGCAGCAGCCCCTTTGAAATGGCTCCTCTGTTGGCTGAGGGAGACCCTCTCCTCAGGTTCTGTGTCAGATGCAGCTGGTGCTGTTGCCAGAAATCCCAGGACCACGGCTCCCGCTGTCCCCACTTTCTCACCCCCCAAGAAACCAAGACTTGAGGTTTTCTAACAATTCAGATTCTTCTTTTTTTTTATTTACGAGGAATGTATATTGTTAGTCACTTTTACCAAGGGACACATAAAAGTGGAATCATAAAACTGACTGCACCCATCGTGGCACCCAAGTCTACGCTTGGGCTCTTCCCCACTCTGCTCTTGGAGTTACTACCAAGACCCCCAAAACCAGCAAAATCCCTTCAACATGAGTAAAGGAAATAGCTTGAAGCAGTGACAGTTTTTACAAGTGATTATTCAAAAAATGCACAATAGCCACAGTTCAGACAAATCAACTACAAAGATCATTTAAAAAAAAGAGAAAAAGATCTTGCTTACTAAAAACAAAGATTGGACGAAAAAGTGAAGAGAACACTCTAGGTGGGAGTTCTGCCTCTGTCCCACGTGACTCAGAGGGGCAGGGGTGGGCACGGCCGCGCAGGGCCTGACACAGGCTTGTTTCCAGCAGATGCATGGGTACAGGGAAGCCTTGCTCTCTCCCTACAACAGAAGCTGAATACTGTAAGTTCGCTAGACAAGATCTTGGGGCAAGCAGGGGCTCTGACCTTTTGAGAGTGCCCGTGCTCCCGGTTAAAGAAGAGGCAGCCGAGTCTGAGCTCTGCAGGAGATTCCAATGCCCAAGACAGTCCACAGGGGCCGAACATGCCGAGGAATCAGTAGGTGATACCCTCTAGCCTGAAGAACTAGGGAGATGAGCTGCCTCCTGGGGCAGGACTGATTTTGTGTGCCATCAGGAGATTCACAGGACTGCGGGGCAGGCCCCTTCCACCCGAGAAGACAGGCACGGTTTCCCTCCTAGTTCCTTGGGACACTTTGGTGTTCTGCAAAGATATCCTTAGTGTATTTAAAGACTTATGTTTTCTCACTTTGGTCAAAAGTACAGAGAGAACGGTAGCCACAAGAATAAATGTGTGGATGCGGATGTATCCACCGCTGAAGAGGTGGAACAGACAGGAGGTTAACTAGTCAGTAGCTTGCGGGGTGTGGGGGAGGATGGAAAATCGTCTGAGGGCACTGGCTCGGCATGTTCACAGATACAATAGAGGAATCATCCAGAGGAAAGAGGCAGGCTCAGGCCTGGAGGGGGCAGGGCCTCTGTACTTTTCTTGAGCATGTCTGGCTGGCTTAGGCCCAGAGCCAGACCCCACAGAGAGTCGAAGGCTCTGACAAGAGTCCACAGTACCTTGAGATGTAGACCAAGGGTCCCATCTCACAGTTTTAGGACAACCTGCCCTTTCACCTAGAACTACTGTTGAATGTCAACCCTATAAAGACTCCCTAGCAGGCAGGGAGACCTCAGGTCTGTGACCCGCCCACAACCAACCTTCTGAAGCTATCAGGCGAAACAAAAGCACTTGGTTAATCAATGGAAAATGACATCTGACTTTTAAATCTGTGCAATTACAGGTTATCTGTAGCTGTTAGGAATCAACATTTACAGCATTCTTTTTAAAACTCCCAATTTACCCATGACTTAATCACCTTCCCTTGATGTCACTGTCATAAGAAACATGTGGGTGGAACAGTGATCTGACCCAACATGATTTTTTGCCCTTATTCCTGCTAGGTCCTGATTATCTGAGCAGAGATGATTTACCCTCTAGGATTTATCCTGGGTTTTTTCCTACCAGTTGGTTGGGGTCTGTGGTGCTACTTCCCCCATTGGTAGGACAAATTCCTAGCAATGCTTTGGGAGGGACAGCTGGGAGCTTGGCAACATTCCAAGATATGTCGGCTTCCCCAGGAAGTGGTCTGTGTCACCCCTGCAGGGCAGACGTCCCCTATTGCTCGGGCAATTCCTTTAGCCCCGTCTGGCTGGTCCCAGCCTTCCCTGCCACCTGCGGAAGGGATGCACTTCCCAAGCAGCAGCCTTCCCTGCCTCTTGGCCCCTCCCGAGCCGGCTAAAGTGCACAGTCGGAAGATCACTGAGCATTAGCTGCAGACTCTGGTCACGCTCGGCACTGGTAACAAGCCGGCTGTCGTTTTAAACTCCTGCCCTTATCAACGTTTCACCAAATTCTTTAAGTTCACCTCTCTACCCTCTTGGAGGAAAAGGTAAAACTTAATGATCATGAAGAAGGAATCTCAGAAGGGGAGGAGGGGAAGCAGAGGAGCCTCAGAATCCACAAATGAGAAATCATCAGTCCCTGGCATGATTCACACTGTTGACTGGAACCTAACTGAGACCACAAGAGGTCAGTGTAGCAAACACAAAGGGGACGGAAACAGGAAAAAACGAAGAAGGAAGAGGAAGTGGGCGCAAAGAAGGAACAACCCCTTCTCTCTGCCCTTAGGTTTCTACCCCTCTGCTTGGGAAAAGAGAAGGGGGATGGCTAGACCTGGCCTAGTAATCCCAAAGAAAGCAGGAAAAACAGGAACCCAAAGTTCTCAGTGTTACCAATTGTGGTTCCATTTAAAAACAAAAAACAAAAAAAAAGGAAACCAAAAACCAAAAACCCTTGACCAATGTGATGAGGAATGCTACGACCTCTCTCTCTCACCCCAGTGTGAAACACCCTGACCCATCAGTCACCGGATCACACTACACTGGGCAGAGGTAAAAATTCTTTTCCTCCTGGGGTTTGCTTATCCAGTTCCCGTAGCCCATGTCCTTCAGACTTTTTTTGAAGTAGTTCTTGGCTATCTCGTAGTCACGGGCAGCTTTCTTGGCTTCACCATAGGAGAGTCTAAGTAGATCCCTGCGGTACCGGAAGGAGCAGAGCTTCTTGAATAGAAGGAAAATGTTCTTTTTGGAGACCCGGGATAATTCATTCCGTGGCCTGGAGAAACGAAAGCACTCACTGTTCACCTGGGATGGAATAGGTGGAGACACTGATGGGGAGGGGGGGCATGGGTGCGTGTGGCAGCTTTTAAGCTCCGGTGTTTGGCAACATGACACCCCCTTGGGGCTCAGGCCAGGACGCCTGGCTCTGCTTTTGCTGTGCTCTCCCAGCTCCTTACCCATCCACAGTGCCTCTGGTCCCATCTAGGATCTCTAGGTCATAGCCGTCAGCCAAACACCAGTTGACGCTTGTCTCCTTGGTCTTCCCGGATTGCCTCTTGGAATCGTATACACTGACTCGGCCAACCTAGAAATTCCAGGAGCAGTGGGAGAAAGATGGAAACCTTTCAAGAAAAAGCTTCTGAAGCAGGGACTCAAGACTCACAGGAAAGAGGGAGTTGTGGGGTCATGATCTTTCCCCCTTATCTAGGATTCTGTTTGGCTAAGACTCAGACGTACTAACTCGACCTCAATTCAAATGAATTCCAGACTAAAAGAAGGAAAGCCCTTGGCATTCAAGAGGAGGAAAGGGTAAGTTCTGGGGAAACGAACTAAGGCTCCCCTTGCCCACACTGTACGTTTTTGCTCTGTTGATAGGATTACTTGAAAAGGAGAAAACGTCAAGGGAAAAATGGATGAGGTTATAGCACCTTGGGGTGGTTGACAATGAAGGGATGTCGGAGTCCATCCTCAAACGCACTCCCATCT